GACGTGTGCTCTTCCGATCTGTTGTTGACCAAATTACGCTATGACCAAATTACGCTACTTTACCCTACATATGTAAAAAGTTAAAATTAAAAATTGCTATGCGGTGAGAACCCTAAAAGAGTACGAGAAATCCAAATTTATTAATTAAATTCTTAAAGAGGAATGAGAAATGCTTGCTCATTATTTTATAAGAAATAAACCTCTGCTGAGAGAGAACAAAGTATTAAAGAAATGCAATATTGAAGTCGCTATATTACGATCAAAGCTTTATAACTTTCTCACAAGCGCTTCTAAATTATAAGATAATATACACAAAATAGAATCTCTCTCTCTCTCTCTCTCTCTCTCTCTCTCTCTCTCTCTCTCTCTCTCTTTGTTCTCCGATTTTCACGATTGTTGGAGATTGTCCAGGGCTTCCATTTTATTTGTATAGCTTAGCGGAATTACAATCGACGTGCTGATCTAGAATTTCTTCGCTGGTGTACTATAGTCGCGCCTTGCTTTGTCCGCCGGCAGCTAGGCAAACCTTTGCTCAATTAATTAGCAGTAATTGCAATTTAGTCGGCGAACGTGGAAACAAGGACAGAGCTGGAAGTTTCCGCCGGTGTATACGTGGCATTCGCTCGTAGTCAGATATTATTCGACTGCAAGTAACGTACACAGGTGCACCGAGAATTACGAGCTGCAGCAATAAAATTAATCCTTTATTCGCGCGCAGAGATATAAACTTATACAATCCATCACAGTGCGTCCGTCGCAATTAAATCCGGAAAATTTTGCGCGGATATTGCAAACTTTTATTCACTCTTGCAAGTGAGACACCGTCATATTAAATTTCTGTTCTTAGCATCGGATTACATTTAAAGAATTCCATTCATTTCGATAAATAAACATATATATTGTGCAGATTTTAGAACAGGAAAGCGTTGCCGAATACGTACTACTCAAGTTATTTTTTATTATATTTTCTTCCATTTGATACTGAATTTCTACATGAATTTATACATACGTATTATTGTACGTAAATATATAATACATTGAAAATTATAGCTCGATAATTCAGATACCTATTTATTACTACATGTTTAGCTTTTTGCCAATAACAAATTAATTTATAAGTCTTTTGGTAACATGAGCAAAAAACACAATTTAAAAAACCGGACTTCTAAATCGTATCTACTTTGAAAGTATAAAATTTATGAATAAAGACAATTAAAAATATAAGAGGTTAATAAAAAAATTATTAATTAATTTTAATAATTTATTTAAAGAAAAATTAAATATTTAATAATTAATAAATAACAATAATGAAAAGGTAATAACATCGAAATAAAACTGGCTTAAATTCATTTTTGCAATTGACATTTTATATCATATAATTTTATATTAATTATTAATTTTATTATTGCCAATTATCACTCTTTGTGATAATAAGATTCAGTAAACTTGACAGATTTTTAAAAAATATCGATTTAATTTTACAATAATTGCAAATATGTCTACACAATAAATATAAAATGTTCTACAATAAATCTTTTTTTATAAAAATATAAAAATTTATAATAAAATTGCATGATTATATTATTATCAGTATAATACATAAGTTGATCAAAAATTAATATCAGTACCTATTTTTTTTTAAGTGCTATTAACGTGCACAAAATAAAATGTAATCTGTTAAATTTTTTTGTTTATATTATTTTTTATTAATTTCATTTTTATTATTAAATATTGAATATTAAGTAATAATATAAAATATTGATATGTGAGGTACAATTTAGGCGATTGGTGCGCATTCAGCTCTTCTCCTTTAATAATGAAATAACTTCATAATTTGTAACATTCACTCATATTCTACTGTAGAAATTCAAACCGTATAAACCAGAGACGTCTCGATTGATAAATGACATACAGAAGTTATTAAGTCTCTCGTCGCAAATAAATTGATTCCCAAGCGAAATTATTATTTTATCATCGATAAATCCTTTGTTGCGGAGGTCCTACAGAGGAAGGGCGCGGCATTACAGAGCGACAAGCGAAAAGTCTGAAGGGACAATTTCTTCCCCTTCATAAGCTGTCTTCCGCGGGCAGCCAATCCCGTTTTTATTATGACTCGATCGTCCGTACCTTCCGTAAACTATGGGCGCTTCGCAATAGGAGCGGCGTCGTTTCCTCGACAAATGCGGGAGATTCCCATGACGACGGCGACCGGAATGAAATCTTTATAGCTTATCGAACCGAAGCGATATCCGGCCTCGATCACCACGTCTTGTAAGAGAGAAGTTACTTGTAATCGATAGTCAATTCGCGATTTCTCTTCTCCACTTCTTAAAATGCTCTCGCAAACACAAATCGTTTTTGAAGTTACAACAAACTCACTGATTGTAGAAGCGTGCCTGCCAATTGAAGCCGATGATTTCTATCTGATCGTCGAGGATACGTTTCTAGCGACTGTCAGTCGCTGTAACGTTAGGCACCCCCCTTGATCGTCTAATGTGTCGCCAGCAGTTACCGGCGACCAGCGCAAACGTGCCCAATAACCGTTAGATTATCCTCGTAGTATATAGTGATCGATATTGACGGCAATATTGGGTTCCCCTCACTTTTCCGGACAGTGCTGCAATTGATATGCGCCAGTCAATTAATACAGCATGTACATGACGGCGCACACTGATTAGATTCCCGGCCCTAGATCCTAATCCCGTCTAGATCTCGACTCAGCGCTAATTATAGCTTCGAATTTAAATCCGCGCCCTTAATTCCGCTCCCGTGAAACGGCGACGCATAAAAATTTGCATAAAAGACAACTCTATCGCTCATACGGCCAATTCGAACCAAACGATACTTACGTTATGACGGGGGAGGGGGGGAGGGGGTAAGCTGTTCCGTTATTGCGTTCTTAAACTGCGGATATTCGGATATGCGCATGGTGGGATGCTATTGTCGTGATATAGCGCGTACCGGGACAACGCTCCGAATCCTCGAACATGTCCCGCGGTCACGTCTTACTTACTAGTTTGGCAATTTTATTCCCGGTAGTTGCACTTGAGCTCTTCGCTGTGTACAGAGTGAAACTACTCGTAATTGAGAACTTTGCGTGAGAAATAATATAGATGTCTTTAAAACGTAATGTTTAGTAATGCACAGTCCGTATAGTAGTCAGGATTGTAATTCTAGATTACTCAAAATTTTAATTATATATAAATTCTATTTATTATGTACAAAAAATATTATAATGTTTATTAAATATTATTAAATTTTTAGGTTTGTTTTAAGCGTCAATAATATAAAAACTCATCAGGATTAGTTGTAATTATTTTTATATATTTATACTAATTAAAATTTCTTAAAAATTACAGCAGAGAATATCATCAAATTCAACAAAAGAAAAAGCTTAATAAATCAATTATTATAAATATCATTGTTAGAAAGAAGAAATATATAACTTCGACCCTATATGTAATTTTCAAAGCTGAATCAATAATTGTTGAGAAAAATAAATATTTAACAATAATATATTACTTTACAACAATATATTAGCTTCAGAATCGTCACGATACATATGGGATTTATGTATGACTGTTCCAGGACTTTCCTTGGGCGGCGGACTGATAGTTCTGGCGTCAGCATTGTCGGACGCGTCACTGGAGTTACCGGGGAAATATAGTTTGCCGTCAACGGCCGGCATGCAAACGGACGATAACGGTCTACCTCAGTATCACTACGGCTGGTGCCTACAGCTCTCGGGATTAGCGTTGATGCTCGCGGAAGTGGCGGCCGTTTTAACGATGTCCGGTTACATGGCGCGGTTCTCCACGGTCGAGGAGATGGTGAAGTTGTCGATTAAAACTCTCACCGCGAATCGGCTCGCTCGGTTTTAGCTAGGAATCCACTTGGACCAATTAGGGCCCACTAAAACGCGGAAACAACATCCTCCCGAGTTAGCGCAAGTGGATTCCTAGCTTTATCGTCGTGTGTTTCGCAGTCACGTTTCGTTTAGTCGGGAGGGATTATTCACGCTCGTTGTTTGTCCTTTTAGGTGAGAGTCATGGTGCCGGGCGCCGAGAGAAAGCTGAGGGAGCAGAGAGGATTCAGCTCGGAGTATCTCGTGAGGGCGCATCAGAAGTCACCGGGGCTACCGCAGGCCCGACCCTTCGGCCAGCCAACCAAAAGTGGGTGAACTTATCGCTAAAGAGGGTGTCCCGCGTATACGTGCGATGATAATGCGGCACACCGTTACCATTTACGTAATTGGAAAGATCGAGGGATCCGTAGAGATCCGTAGAGATCTCGGAGAGTATGCCAGGATCCTGAGATCCGAGGAGATCCTATAATGATCTGTAAAAAAAATATATTAAAAAAAATCTCCGAAGTGCTGCGGGACACCCTGTAAAAATAATAAGCGTGCTTTCTCATTGCCCCGGTGGAAAGTAAGTCCGCACTTCTGTGTCCTAGCGCCTCAAAAAATAGCCGAAGAGGGGACCTCATTGCTCTGCAAGTCGGCGCCCGATATCTGCGCGTCGAATCCACAGGCCATCAGTTACGTCGATAAGGCAGACCTGTCGCACGTTCTGCCGATTTACCCGGACGGCAAGAACATCGATCCGCGGTACAACAATTTCGAGAAGTCCGAGGGCAACGTCGTAGATTCCCGACTGAGCGGTTTCACCGATAAGGAAGGCTTCATCGATTCCCGGATTCTGTCGGAATCCAGGCAAAACATGATCGCCTTTACGGATAACAAGGAACCCGATCAGGAGCAGCGGTATAACACCGAGTTCTCCGCGCGAAATACCGATCAGAATATCGTCGATTCCAGACTGAGCGGTTTCGCCGACAAGGAGGGTCTTCTCGATTCTCGATTGAGCGGCTATGTGGACAAGAACGAATCCTTACTGGACACCCCGTTTGGTTACGACACCAGATTCAACAGTCTCGCCGGGCAGACCGTCCCGATCACGCTGAAGAACCAAAACGCCTCGGTATCGGCTATTCAATCGCAGTACATATATCAAAACTTTGGAACGATACACTCGGGCATTCTCAAGGTATCGGAACCGGGTACCAGCTCCAGTTCCAATTCTAGTCAACGTAGCATGACCCTGCAGAATCCGAAGCGGAAGTCACAGATCGCTCAGAACACCTTCAGCACGATGGAATGCGAAAAGCGGAAGCGAGCATCCGGGCTAACCGGCAAGGCGGGCTTTTACACCGGAAGTGCCGTATGACCACCACCCCCACCTCCGACACCGAGGTAACTCCTAGAAGAGGACACCCCATTGTAGCCGGAAACTCAGTATGACTTTCGAGTTTGGTCGGAGGATATTAATCGCTAATTGCGCGCAAAGATTGAGAAAAAAAAAGAATTTTTTACCTGCAGCTGAACACAACTCTGCCGTATTTATATAACAATGCACTTACCGATGTACGGTACATAAAAAAACATGCGTCTTATCGACTATCAGCGTTGCAGATTCCTACAATGGATCTCAAAAACTGCCAAAAAGCTGCCAAAAAGATGCCAAAATTATAATTACGATAATGCATTAATTTAAAGCAGTAACTGAAATAGTTAGATTTGTATAGTAGAATCTTCAAAGTACAATTCGTACAAAAAGAGAGATACAAACATTAAAATATGTCGATAATATTGCGAGCAACGCACTTTATTAAATGAATTAAATAAAGATAAAAATGATGAACGATTCAGATTACTCTTTCATCATTTTACATATATGAAGAAGTAAGATAATGTCCGTCATTCGTTGTTAAGACTAACTTTAATTCAACATCATAATCGCGTTTCAGCTGCATAACCAATCGAATAAAGCTGTAAGATGAAATACTTATTATAATATAGTCAATATATTGTAATATAATTGGTGGTTGATATACTCAAATAAGTCGGGCGCAACTTTCGTACTTTCATTGAACAATAAGTAATCACAAAAATGCCAGTTAATGAAGTCAAGTGCAATGGTTTACAATTAAGGATTTTCCCGATTTCTTTCAGCGACGTATATTATAGTATGTACACGCTCTAATTGTATCACTAATCGAAGACATATCAGAAATAAAAGCGTTTCCGTTGATCATGCTGTGATTATTGGAAAGTCTTTTATTTTGAATTCGATTTTTACTTTGAATTCCTTCATCTATTATTAGAACAAATAACAGATGTTTTATGCGCCCGCATAAGAAAGAATAATGCGTACATCAATATGTTGTAATGACTGTAGTTGAGTGTAATAAAATATTCCTTTTCTAATAATGTTGTCACCCTTTCCTTTCTCTATTCATATTTCATTATTTAATATTTGATACACAATAATAAAAAACAATTAATAACGATTTAATCTTGCAAATTAATTTCATTAAGTTATTATAAAATAAACATCATTTTATTTACGTAATATTACTTACAAATATTAAATAAATTATATAATTAAACTTTTTAAAATGGTTATTTAAGAAAATGGCGGTATAATCCACATTTTTATCCGAAAATTTTATCTTTAAGGAGGCATATGTCACATTACACAAAACATTATTAAAAACATAAAAATTTCATAGATTGTTTATTATTATGTCTGAATATCTGTAAAATTGGAGCATAATTTTTTATTGATTTAAAAGTTACTTGATTTTTTGTTTACATGAATTCTTATGTAAAATCGCGTTTTTAGTACTTATTTGCAAATTTAATGAGAACTTGGTTAAAAACTAAATCTAATTTTTTACATATACTAATAATAAAATTCTAATAAATATTTATAAAAAGATTTAGCTCTATAATTTACTCGTTAATAGTAATTTTAATTTTTAATTTAATCTAAAACTGCAACAAAATATAAT